ACACTATTTTTACTTCTTGTGTATGTATTCTGGTGTATTGCAGAAACCATTCGAGGAATCTCTCTTCTATACTTTAGAGTGGAAGTGTTAAGGTGTAAACAGAAGTATAAACGGGTAGAAGTGTCGGAAATAGATAGTGACAGAAGTGTTTACGTAAATAGATAGTAGTGTTAGGCTGGCACTGTTAGTGTTATCATTGCAGGTGTTAGAAATAGAAATGTGAGTGAGTAAGAGTGTTAGAAGTAGATAGAAGTGTTAACACGAATGAATAAGAGTATAAGGAGCAAGCATAAGTGTTAAATAGATAGAAGTATTACGTACTGTACGTGTTAGAAATAGATGTGAGGAAAGAAAGTGTAAGAAATGGAAGTGTGAGTAGGCATATTAGTGGAAGAAGAATAGACAGAAGCATTAGGTAAAGGGATTGTTTATAAGTATTATTACATTAAGTATGACTAGTCAGAAATGTTAGGAACAGGCATTGTTAATGTTATCAATACAAGTGTTAGAAATAAAAGTGTGAGAAAGCAGAAGTGATACAAATGGATAGAAGTGTTAACGTGAATAAACAATTGTTAACACACATACACACGAACAGAAGTGTAAGTGTTAACGTGACAAAAGCAAAGTTTAGATTTGTAGAATTTAATAAGAGTGATTAGAAAAAAAGGGGTAAAAAATGGGTTTTTAATTTACAATCTGTTAATTAAATAAATTCAATCAACAATGTGTATTAATTATTTATGTGTATTAATATTAAACGTCATATAATCATTTGTTACACTTAGATAATTAATTAATTTCACAATTACGAACAATAAGAATATATAATATCAATAGTCACAAATTTTATTCGAGAGTTTGTAGGATTTTCTCTAATTTTTTTTAAAAAACTTCAATATTAATTAATTAATTAATGGGTTTTTTGGGTTTCATAAAGGAAAATATGTATAAAATAACGTAAAATTTAAACAATTAACGAATATATATAAAATTACAGAAGGATAAATTACACAAATTAAAAAAAAAACAAAAGTTAAGCGATGTATTTTTTGTATTTTGAATTCTCCCCACCACAAAAAAAACAAAAAAAAATTACTTAAATTACCTTCAAATTTATTACAAAAATACGATAAATCATAATTTCACTCGGGATGTTATTTTAATTTATTCCAACGTCTAATTTATGCAAACGAACAAAGGGCTATTATTCTTATCGTCATTGGTGGAGAGCCACAGACATCGCTTACTTGTAGAGTAGTCAAAATCTTCACACTCCTCAATCTACGCCCGAGTGATTCGCTCGTAATACTCCCAATCTACATTGCACTCCTTCTTTTTAGAGCAGTAGGAGGTCTTTACCGCTATAATATATTCGCTAAGACTCTGTTTGACTTCCCTCCACTCTAAAAATACTTCCTAAGTTGGAAGAAATGGCGCATTTAGACACGAAAATAAAGAAATCTTTCAGCTTTCCAGGTGTAGATACTTAAAAATGGATGCACTAAATTCGTTTACACCGTCGAAACGATTTTCGAGTGAAGTTTTCTATGTTTGCAAAGCGATGGACGTTCAGCAGCAACCTGTAATAATACTAAGCTGTACGAAATTTTAAATTTAGGCCAAAAATAAAGAAATCTTTTAGATTTCTGAGTGTGAATAGTTAAAAATGGATGATCCGTACCCGTTTACACCGTCGATACGATTTTCGAGTGAAGTTTTCTATGTTTGCAAAGCGATGGACGGTCAGCAAACTCTAATGATACCGAGATGGAAGAAATTACAAATTTGCGCCCGAAAATAAAGAAATCCTGAAGATTTCTGGGTGTGGACAGTTAAAAATGAATGCACTATTCCTGTCTATGTTGTCGGTGCAAGTTTCTAATGACGTTTTCTGTGTTTGCAAAGAGGGAACGTTCAGCAACGTCTATAGTGTGACGAAGAAAAGTGCTTCTACTTCAATTACTCCTTTTGTTTTATCAACTGATTAGGAAGTTATGTGCTAAGCAGTAGGAATTAGTTCCCTTTCAGTTATTTCACGTATGGGAATAGAACAGGTCGTAAAATCAATTTTACGACAAAAATAATAGTCGGAGAGGCGATCTGTCTCATTTATAATCTTTATTCTTCCACTCGTGACGATAAAGATAATATTGTCGGTAGATCCGATAGAATAATTCGAAAATTCTATATTAAATATTAATTATTTCTTACAAGAGATTGATTATTTTCTATTATATTTCTAGGCCTTATATTGAGAGATCGATAGAGAACTCACAATTGACAATAAATGGCTTCCGTTAGATAATTCGTTATATCGACCATTAAACTTCCATTAACCTATTATTCTTGCGTTAAATGGAGGAAGAGATTTTTGAAATATTTTCCAACACTTTACGACGATCGTTACATAACGCGTGTTTTCCTACTTGTTAACTGGCGTTAAGACGAATGTGGATTCTTTTATTCGTTAAATTGAAGTAAACCAAGTCGAATTTATTTTTAATTTTCTGCAAAAGATCCCTTCTGTTATTTAAAACATCCTAATTCAGCGTTGGATTGATGGGATGAGGCAACGCAACACACGGGTGATCTGTGCCTCCCAGAGAGGACATTTTGGCCCCTATTTAACGTGGAAAAAACCCGGGAAATTTCACGTGGTCAGGCGCGAATACGCGATTGTTTAGTGGTTTTAAACATCCAGTAACTGTTGGGCAATCCACGATACCCATTATACAAAACACCAAGAGTTGAACTCCGATTTACCTCGTTATAACGAATTTAGATGCGAAAATTCTGACCGAAATTGGAGATTTGTATTTACATTATTCGCCGATATCGTATAAAAGTTAAAAATTTACCTCACTTTAACGTTTCGCCTCTTCGAATTAACGATAATTACGTTACAAATAAATCTCGCATTTTTCTATAATAAATTATATATAACAGGAGCACTTAAACGATAGAAAACGGGTGGAACTTGCTGAAAAAAATTGAAAAAAAGTAAGGAAATTCTGTATACAGATTCGAATTTATCATCCAGATAGATAATTCTAGATACACGAGACCGGATAGAGGGGCATTGAGCAGTCTCCATCCCAGCAATCATGCTTTAGCGGACATTGAGTTATTATAAGGAATGGCCATATTGCATGTCTATAGTTAATAATATTTTACTTTCCCCGAAGGAGTGAGAATCTCAAACTTTCAATAGACTAGTGTGTTATGGGAGGAGAGGAATAAAACACCTCAAGGGGGTAGTAACACGTAGAAAAAGGTGCATCCCGTTCAAGGTGTTTCGCTCTGCTTCGAGCAACATCCAATTAACATCTCAACGCCGGTGTTTTATGAAAGGATTCTTTCACTTCGCACGAGATGCAAAGATAATCTAATTGTGCTATTTTTAAACTTACAACCCGCTTAATAATCGCTCTCCCTCCCCCGAAAAAAATTCGAATTTATGCCATTTTTTTCCGTGTTATATAATTGCTCGAACGTTGTTTCTTCTGAGGATTTCTTAAGAGGATCCGTGCGTTGCCATTGCTGTGGTGAGTTGCGGTGTGAAGAAGACGGTGACAAATGTTTGCGCTATCTTCTCCTTATCTAATAACACAGAATGCATTGGTTGGAGCATGTTTTCGTCTTAGCTAACCCCGGCTTCCTATCACAACATGTGCCTCGCTTCTGCTTCTAAAGGCAGCAAAACACGTCTCTGCTATGGTTCACTGTCACACCGGTAAAACCAGAAGTCATTTATTTATTCTATCCTATTAACGGTAGCTTATATCGGTCCCATTTTTCTTCGTTTTTTAGGTATTATTATTATTTTTTAATTATTTTAATAACGACAAACTTCGGAAGGTAAATTTCAATTGAAGCCATGAAAATCTATGAAGTACCTAAGTACATTTGGTGACTTTCAACGGAAGAAATCAGGTTAACAATGGTCGCAGGTGAAGTTTTCCGAAGTTTCTTCGTGTCTACCACATAAATAGATGTCAATTTCCCACAGAAAGTCCATTCCTCCTTGGCATATCGCCCATGTGTTGTATTGTCTTATCCCAAACCTTCTACCTTAACACCAATCTCATTTGAAGTTAAATAAAACATAATACCCTTTAACAAATTACAGAAAAATTGTTTAGAATTCTTCCCTATAAAAAAAAGAAATCTTCTTAAATAAACTAAATCATCAGACTACTTAATTAACCGAAAGACAATTACCAGAGACCTTAACCAACCACACAAAGCTATTTTTAGATGGTACATAACCTATTTTCAGGTTATCTACAGCCCTTAATTAGGTAACAGAGCCCATTACTAATTACAATTAAATTATTTACAGCTCTTAAATTAAGTGTTCCACACGGAACTCTTCCGTATTGTCTCACAATAAATAAATAAACAAAAAAAAACGAATCCGTGTTACCTGTGTGAAGTTCCTCCCCCATTTTCTAAGAGGCTAACACCATTTAGCATGGTTTTATTTTATTAAATGGCCTATTATCGAGTATTAAAGTGGATAATTAAGTAGGCGAAACTTCATTATTAAAATTGGATACAGAAAAATCTATTAAATTTCTGTTTAAAAGGCCGATACACCCGGAGTAATAAATCTTTGGGTTATTTAGACGGAGAGAGAGAGAGAGAGAAAAAAAACATGGATGTTGTCTAACAGCCTTTTTCTACTCCTCCACCAAAAAACGGGAGTGAATTTTGCAACCGTCTATAACATGTGGACAAACTAATTTTAGTTAATGACCCAATTCTGCAGTAGCTCCAGGGTTAGGTCGTACGTCCATCTCGTCAAAGGTTCTTCTACCTGTTTATATTTCCGAAACATTCCCACCTGTCGTTTGAGGGATCGTGTAGTTTATTTTGAGAAAAAACGTGATGGGGAAAAGCGGCAAATTGGACAATAACCTCCACGTTTCTTAATAGCAGTTTTTTTTTCGGTCGCGAGAAAATCCGCGGAAGAACATAAGTGTGACGTCACTTACCTTTGTTTTAGTGGTGTGGGGGCTGGGTGCCGAGATGTCCACGGCGTAAACTACCAATTCGTAAACGTGAGCTCCACTTTCTCGATCCAGAACGGCTGCGGTGGTGATGACGCCACTCTGACGATTGATGGCAAACACGCGCTTCTGTGGTACATCCTCTGAATATATCCCAGTTAAATAGTAGGAAACGGTAGCCGAACCGCTCTTATACTGAGCTCTGACACCTAGAATGCTGGTACCTACGCGTTCGTTTTCGAACACGGAACCAAGGTACTCCGACGAAGAAAAAACTGGACCAGTCGGGCGATCGGTGGTACCGACCACGGTAATTTTACTTCTTGACGTCTTCCTGTATGCACCAGGAGCTTGATCCGTAGCCTGCACCGTTAAAGTATAGATGACGTCGGGTTGATCCACTTTCCTGGATAGGTAAAGATCGCCCGTGGTACGATCCAGAAAAAATAAATCGTGATTACCGTCTACCAGTTCGTAATTTACCATACCGTTCATATTGGCGTCAGGATCCACTGCCGATAACGTCATCACCACGAAACCCCTTTCCGAATTTTCGGGTAGGACGCCGGTATCCATAGAAACGAAGGTGGGGGCATTGTCGTTGACGTCCTCCACTATAATCGTCACGGTCTTCTCGGCAGACAGGGGTTTAGGCAATCCCATGTCGTAAGCCACGACTCTCAAACGGAATGTATCGCTGTATTCCCTATCGATCTGATGAGTGGTGGTTACGACACCGGTATTGCGCTTGATGGAGAAGTGATTTCCAGGTGGTTCCTGATCGATCAAGCCATAGATTACCTTGCCATTATCACCCGAATCCTTATCTTCAGCCACCACTGTCAGTATGGGGCTATTTATGGCGATTCCCTCTTCGATTTGCCTCACCAGTGCCACGTTGGAAAAAGTGGGAGCGTTGTCGTTAACGTCCAAAATCCTGATGGTAAATTGGAGGGTGGAAGTCAGCCTGGGAGCACCACCGTCGCTGGCAGTGATATTCAAATGATAAACGCTCTGCTCCTCGAAGTCTAATGGCCTAGACACGTAAAGCACACCGGTACCGGCATCGACCTTGAAGGTTTCTTTTATATTACCCGCAACAATGGAATACGTAATCTCCCCATTCAGTCCCAAATCCGCATCGGTGGCGGTAAAATTAAATATTTTCATATTCACCGGGGTGTTCTCTAGTATCTCTATGTGTAGGGTGGAGACGGAAAATTGGGGAGAGTTATCGTTCTCGTCCAACACGTCTATGGTGACTGTGGCCGTGGAGGAGAGTATGGCCATCTCCCCGCTGTCTCTAGCTTCTATGGTGAGGACGTAACGGGAAACGCTTTCTCTATCCAAAGATTTCAGCAGAGTGATCTGTCCAGCATCCTGGTCGATGACGAAACTGTCGTCGGTGTTCCCACCCGTAATGGAGTAGACCACGTTGCCATTCAAACCGTCATCCGCATCTGTGGCACTCACTCTAACGATTAGAGTCCTGGTTGGAGCACCTTCGGAAACAGCTGCTCTGTAAGGTGTGCGAATAAATTGTGGTACGTTATCATTAACGTCGGCTATATACACCGTAACTTTGGCTTCGTCTCGAAGCCTCGTTACCCCTCCATCCATAACCACTGCCTCTATAACGATGTAGTCATGACCAGAAATTTCCACAAGTTTCTCTCGATCGAAATAGTTTTGCGTCCTGATGAAACCAGATTTGGGGTCCACTAAAAAGTCGTGTTGGTTGGTGCTGATGGAGTAGGTAAGTTCGGCATTTCGCCCCTTGTCACCGTCTTCGGCGGACAACTTGCCAACGTAAGTGTCCGGCGGTTCGTTCTCTGGTATGTAGAAAACAAAGGTGTCATTGCTAAACACTGGTGCATTGTCGTTCTCGTCGATGATGTGAATGATGACGTAGGCAGAAGAGGTGCGCGGTTTGGTGCCATTATCCGTTGCCGTAACGGTTAGAGCGTAATAGTCACGCTTCTCTCGATCCAACGAACTTCTGACGTAGATATATCCGTCCGGAAAAATGGCGAATTTGTTTTCCTCGTTGCCATCCACGATGTTGTAAGTGATTCTGCCGTTTTCCTCAAAGTCGGAATCACTGGCGTGCAGTGCGTAAAACCTGTCGTTAACGGACGTCGATTCCATCAGGGATATCTCGTATGTCAGGTGATCGAATATGGGAGCGTGATCGTTGACGTCGTTGACTAAAATCCCTAATTGTATCTTACTAGACAAAGAGGGAATCCCAGAATCCCTAACCATCACTTCTATGGTGTACCTGTTACGAGCTTCGTGCCTCAACGACTTGTTTATGTAGATCATTCCCGTGACTTTATTAATAGAGAAGAGATTTTGAGGGTTAGAGATGAGGTGATACTCCATCTTGCTATTGATGTCCTCGTCTAAATCGGTAGCCTGAAGCAGATATACCTCCCTGCCTACGGGCCAATCTTCCATCACTTCCACTTGTCTGACAGGTGAGAGAAAGGTGGGTGGATAATCGTTGACATCTCGAATGGTGACGTTCACAAAGGTCGTCACGAAATTCGTGGCGCTGTAGGCTATTACTTTCAAAGTTACGCTATTCTTTTTCTCGCGGTCCAAACCTCGTGAAGTAGTGATGATGCCCGTTCTTTCGTCCATCTTGAACCATCCTAGTTCGTCACCGTCTGCAATGACGTATTTGGAACCCGGTGGTATGGCGTATACTCTTCCTACTTCTCTTCCAACATTGGGTTCTCGAGCGTATTGATCCTCCTCCACTTCAAAATGGTACCCGTTCTTCTGCTGAAATTCCATTTTATTGTTTTCGGTGGCATTATCGCTGCTGTAGATGACGACGGTTGCCGTATCCGAAACGTCCTTATCACCAGGATTTTGGGCAGACAGTAATAATTCATATTTCACAGACACCTGTAATTTCTTCTTCACGGTAATCATACCCGTTTTTTCGGAAATATCAAACAACTTATTGTCTCCGTTCATCAGATTATAAACAATGACTGCGTTTCTCCCTTCGTCCTGGTCGAAGGCCATCACTTTGCATATTGAAGTACCAACGGCAACGTCGTAATTAACGGACGTAAAATATATTTTGGGATAGAAAAATGGCGTGTTATCATTCACATCCAAGATATTCAACTGCACGGTTGCCGTGGAAGACAGGGCGGGTTGTCCTTGATCCTTTGCAATGACTTTTATGAAGTATATCCCGAGCTCTTCGCGATCCAGCTGGATTTTGGCAATCAGACGACCGTACGTTGAATCCAGGGAGAATTTTCCAGGATACATCTGTTCCATTTCCGGATCCAGGCTGTATATGATGCTTCCATTGGTTCCCAAATCATTATCGACGGCAGAAACGATAGTGATCAAGGAATTTGGTGGCGCGTGTTCCGATAGAGAAACGTTAATGTAAGTCTGAGAAAATGAAGGGGCTTCGTCATTTTCATCTAATATTTGGATTTTAAGGTAGGTGTAAGCCCATTTCGGGCTCGGTCCACCGTCGCGTGCTGAAATTTTTAATTCCACAAAGTCTTGATCCTCTCTGTTTAACCTCCTGACAGTTGTCACTAGACCTGTGAGCATATCCATGGCAAACCATCTCCTGTCGTTACCAGATATAATGGAGTAGTATATGTTAGAATTGATACCGGTATCCTCGTCTGTGGCTGTGATACCAGAAACAAAGGTACCCAATGGCACTAGTTCGCTGAGAACGGTAGAGTATTCATTTTTTTCGAACACGGGTTCGTGATCGTTTACGTCATTCACGTGAATTATAAGAAAAGCCGTCGAACTTCTCGGGGGGCTCCCCTTATCGATAGCAGTAATGGTTAGATTGTATTTACTAATTTGTTCCCTATCTAAAATGGCACTGACCCTAACTATATCGAAACTGGGGGTGGATTCGAGTCGAAAATGATTAAATTCGTTGCCGTCTTGAATGTCGACCGTAGTCTCCCCGTTGGGGCCTTCGTCGAAATCGATGACACTAACAGCAGCAACCACGGAACCATTTTGGGCATTCTCGTCCACCGTGGCGTAATTGGCAGTAGATGGAAAAAATCGAAACCTGATGATCGGATCGTGATCGTTGGCATCTAAAAGATTAACTGTGACGTAAGCTCTTCCATCTTGTCTGGGCGATCCGTGATCGCGAGCGAACACAGTGAAAACACAACTCTTGGGGCAGTTGTCGGGTGGTGGACAATTCTGTTGACAATTCAAATGATCCACGGTAGAGATGATCCCCGTCTGAGGATCGACGGAAAACTGAGTTTCTGTGTCACTTAAAAAATATGTGATTTTCGAATTATCCCCTATATCGTTGTCTGTAGCTCTCACTTGAAGAACACTAGTCCCGGGTGGCACACTTTCGTTTAAACTCACCGAATAATCACTGTGATCGAAAATTGGTGGGTTATCGTTCACGTCGAGGATGCTAATGTTAACTTGAAGATGACCGATTTTGACGGGGGTACCACCATCCTGCGCAGAGATATTCAACTGATAAAACGACTTGACCTCCCTGTCGAGTCTGCCCATAGTTTCTAGATGCAAATAAGGCATCTCACCACTGGGATTGGTAGTGACCACTAATCTAAATTTGCCGTCTTCATTACCGGACACTAACTTGTAATCGGTGGTGATGTCGTTAACACCGGCATCACCGTCGGTGGCGGTATCCAAAATGACTCTGGTACCCACGTTGGCACTTTCTGAGAAAGACACTTCGATACCCGGCTCGGGAAAAGTAGGAGCATTATCGTTGACGTCGAGAACGATGATACGCACCTCGATAGGGTAAGTAGGTTGGCTGCTGAGTACCACTAGGTCGAAGCGATCGCTGGGTAGAGACTCACGATCCAACTCCACTGTGGTGGTAATGATGCCAGTGCTGGCATTGAGATGGAATTCGGGAGGGTTATCGTTGAAGCGGTAGGTGAAATTGGGCTTGGTGGGTATGGTACCCACCACCGTACCGGGCGGAAGGCCCTCGACCAGTTCGAACTGCACTCTCATGTCGATTTCCTTGGACCTAGAAGATCCCGTCACCTGGACGCCGGGCCCCTGACCCTGAGCGTAACGTACGAGAAAGAGCAACAAAGCCAACAGGATCCAGCTCAACCTCCAGCAACTGGGAAGAGTGTGGTATCTTTTCCAACCACCCTCAAAAACATTTCGAGAGTTACGATTGGTTTTCGGTTTATCCATTACCGTCATCCCCATACACGCTAAAACATAGACATCCTTGGAGCACTTACATTTCGCGTGGCAACACTTACAGCCTTAGACGTACAGGCGATGCTAACATAATAAAAGACGGAAGGCAACCCCCGTCAGATGTCCATCTTACAATATAAGGCCTCCGAGATTATTTCAGCCATCGACTCGCTCCACCTTGCGGCTCGACACCGACCCAACCTGCTTAACATTCCGAAAGGCCTAGGGGCAAGAGAGAAACTGGTGATTCCGGCCCAGCTATGTAGCCATGGCTGCCTAGGCACGGCAAATACAGCGTCAGTTAGTCTTTCTGCTCTCCTTTTCTCGACGCCGTAAGTCGTTGCCAGCACACTTTAACCACGATCCACACGGACAGACAGCCAAGCAGTCCTCTACGTCTCTCCTATTTCTCTAATGTGACCACACGATACACAACGTTGCACGCACACACACTAGTTACTACCGTTCGTGCCTCGTACCACTCTGCATGTCAATAGAGGCCAGTGCCGCATTCCGAGAAGGAGGCGGAGCGCAAAACGTGACGTAGGGGAGACGCTGTCGCTCATTGCCTCGGCCTTCGACGGTGGCGCCTCGTGCGGCCGACAGAGGAGGCAAAGGCTCTGGTTCTCTCTTGAGCCTTTTATCTCTTGTAACTATCCCTTGCCTCTTCGACGGCTCCGGATTTACTACGTCCAGGTCTGGCACTTTTCTTTATTTTTTCAAACAAAACTCATTTATTTTTCCAATTTTTTTCCTTTCTTCGACTATATCATTTTTCTATTTTTCTCTTTTTTTCAGCCTCTTTTTTGAGCCTAATTTCTTCAAATTTTCTCTTTTTTCAGCCTAATTTCTTCTATTTTTCCGTTTCTTGAGCCTAATTTTTCTAATAATATATTTTCTATTTACGGTGTGGAGTTGCGAAGGTGCAACGAACTCTTCTGTTGTTTCCTCCGTGATTTTCTGTCAAGAAAAAAGGAATTTTTTGGAATTTTGACTGGTAATTAGCATTTTTAATTAAAATTTTGACAAAACCCATGGGCTATTTACGTCAATTTTTGTTTCGCATCGAAGAAATTTGCAATTTATTTTTATGAAATCGAAGAAAAAAAAAATCAATTTAACTCGCAGCAAATTAGCGTAGAACCCGCCTCACACTAATGAATCTTCTGAATTTCTTCGAATTATTTTAATTAATTTTAAAATACATTTCAAATGAAATTGCTCTTTACATCAGTAAAAACAGCGCAGAGAAACGGGGACTCGAGAGTTAAAATTTTACGAAAAACCTCGAAATAACGCTGTTTTTTTTTCGGTGCTGGAACTATCGAAATTTAAAAAAGGTAATACTTTGACCTTTTGAAGTGATTTAACACGAGTCGAATTTATTTTCCAAGTCTATAGACGATTACCTAACGACAGGTGTGTAGGATGAAACGGTTGACACGAAGATAGAGATCCTCTGGAGGCATAAGAAAAGGGTTGACGGTTGATACTCGAGTAACTTTTTAATGGTGTCACAGGAAACCACTTGACAACTCGTAACACGAGAAAGAAGTTTCGAATAACACTTGTGTCTGAGGACCTATATGCTTTTTTATCGGTCGAATCGGATAGTTTTCGGGACTATTTTAAGCTCCGTCTTCATCTAATTTGCATAAATGACGCTGTGGTAGGGTTGGAGCCAAGAGAAATAAGTATACATTTTAAAGATTATTCGACTCTTCTACAGTCACATCACATGCTTTCCTCCCCTCTTATTTGAGATTTTAAGCGCCAAATTCCTGTAATTTGCATAAATGACCCTCGATATGTAGTTGGAGCGAGGAGAAATACACTCTTTACAGATAAATTCTCACTTCTCACTCGAGTTTCGGTGTGTATTTTAATCCCCAAATTCGTCTAATTTGCATAAATGGCAGTTGAAGAGAAGAAAAATACAATTTCCTCTCTCCCTCTATACGCTCTCCCATAGGCAAATCGAATAGTTTCCTCCCCCTCTTACTCTGGTTTTATGGTGTATTTTAACTCTCAAATTCATCAAATTTGTATATATGAGCCCCGTGTATAGTTGGAACGAATAGAAATACACTTTTACCCCCTCACAGTGTTCATTTTTAAGAACATTCGACTGTATACAGTCACATCGACTAGTTTCCTCCCCTCTTCCACGAGATTCTAAGAGTCGAATTGGCCTAATTTGCATAAATGACCTCCTGGTGTATGGTTGGAACCAAGAGAAATACACTCTTTTCCCCCTTACAGTGTTTATTTTTAAGATTATTCGGCTCGTATCCTCGGTTCTATTCGCCAAACCTGCACTTGGGCCTCCCCTCTTCCACGAGACAATTGACGTGAAAACATAGGTCTATACATATTTATGGGAGGCGAACTTTTCGTTGCAAGCCTAGTTTATCTAGGCCTTTTTATAAGAGGCCAGGTGCTTGCTGGAAAAATCAGTTGTTTACCGTTTGGCATTGGAAAAATATTCGTATTGTTAACGTGGATTTACGTCACATTACGAATCACTCAACCCTAGCCTTAAACAGGGATTGAATTGATTTCCATCGCTTATTAAATCACAATTTGAAACTTATCTCCTTCAATTTTATATTTAGAAAAGGAGATAATCTTCAATTGTATTAATTTAAATTATCAAAGTTATTGATAGATGATTTGATGGATCACAAATGCAACAATGGCCATCCCGTCTGATAAAACCTCAATGATTATTTCAATCTGATCTGTTGCCGGGCGCTTGTAAACTGTCCACGAACCCCGAAATAACGCTAGGAATCTGCCGGTGTAACGTTAAATCGAATGATAAGAGAGAGAAATTCACTTGGATTTAAGAGGGATGGCTGGTGTCTTCTGTGTAAAGACACCACGAAAAATGCGTTATTTGCTACATTGTTACGGTTGTAAACCATCGATAAACCTCGAAATAACGCTACTAATCCGCCGGTATAACGTTAAATCGAGTGATGAAGATAGAACTACGCTTCGATTTAAGTGGAATGGCTACGTTTTTGGAAGTCAAAATACTTATTCGTACATTGCCACCCGCTTGTAAACCATCGAAATAAACCCCCGAAATAGCGCTAGGAATTCTCTACGATTAGGAAGCTTCGATTTAAGAGGAACGGTTGGTACTTTTTAGGGAGGATAGACGTATTAATATCGCCTACTCGCTTTAAACTACGCTAGGAATTCGATAGAACAGCGTTAAATCGAGTGAGGAAGATGTTAGGCGGTTTATTTTAACGTGTCAGACGTACCAAAAAATAAAAAAGAACGAAGTTTATTTGCGAGAGAGTCGCGTGCGCGCGAAGCATAGTGTGATAGTCGCACACCCGTAATAGCGCTATCCATAGTGGTAGTTGTTCACACACTTCAATTATAGCGTCAATTGGAAGAGGAACAGTCAGGGGTCCCCAATAACCCCAGAGGGAGTTTATCTCACGCCTGAAAGTCGGGGACTATGATTGAGTTTGCTCCAAATTTCTGTAAGAGAATATTTCTGGTACCTCCCCTCCGGTTTTCCACCCTCGCGGGTGGAGGTGAAACCAATCTCCCTCCGTAGGGTTGTGCACGGGCGAGATATTTGTTCTGAACCTTCTGTGAAATCTCTATTTCCTTCGGGGCTCTCCTTCCCCCCATACGACCCACCCACCCCCCGCTTTGCCCACCTTTTTGAGGTCCCGCCCGACTGCTTTACCTGCTGCAGATTAACGTATTTGTTCGCCAAAAACATGGGACGAAAAGTTTCCCACACTGGCATTCTTTAATTATCTTTTGACCCATTTCTCTCCGTTTCTGTGGAATATACTTGCCCAATAGGGCATTGTCTCGCTTTAAGTCTAAATTTGGCCTCGTTTTTAATGAGGTAAATTAATTTTGTGGCTGTTAAAAAGAGGTTTTCTTGTAGAGGAATGTGTCCAATGTTGAAGGGCCTTTTTTTTGCTGAAGAGACCTTGTATTTCAGACAGTGCCTTCTATAGACGAAAACCTGTATTAGACGAAACCTTTCATAGAAGAAAGCTTGTAAAGGGAGCCTTTATTAGTTAATTAGACCCATTTTTTTTGGAGATTTTTTAGTCAAATCTTTCATTTAAAAAGCACCATAAAACCCCTTTAAATTGCGAATGTTTCAAATAAGTGGAGGCCATTTTTAGCTGTTTTTTGTAAAATATAACTGCCCAATAGGGCAATACCTCACTTTAAACTAAATTTCGCCTCATTTTTTAATGAAATAAACTTATTTTGCGGCTGTTAAACCGAGGTTTCTTGTGGAAGTACAGTATGTGTCCATTGCCGAAGAGCCTTTCTTAAGGTTTTCTTAAAAAGGACCTTTACAGGGAACCTTTATTATTTAATTACACCTTCTTTAGGGACTACTTAACCAAATCTTTTATTAAAAATATACTCAAAAATCCTTTTAAATCGCCAATGTTGCAACGAAACTTTAGTGCTTTTTTTAGTGTGAATTTGGTGTTAATTTAGTGTGTTTTTAATGTGATTTAGTGTAAATTTCGTACAGTTTAGTGAAACTTTGGTGGGTTTTAGTGTTAATTTAATACGATTTAGTGTAAATTTAGTGTGTCTTGAATGGAATTTCCTACAGTTTATACAATAAACCATACGAATTCTCCATGCTACCAGCTTGATAAAATTACACAAGATTCGAAAAACCAGGTGTATTTTACAGTAATTATACAGTACTAAACTATAAACAGACTTATAAATCACTAAAAAAAATGCAACTTTTTTTTTTAAAAGAATAAGAAGAAAACACTACAAAACAAGAAAAAAGTAATAACTAGTAAACTGCAGTTTAGCAGGTTTGCTACAAGATTTGCATAATAAATAACCAAGAATTCCCTCCCCCAAAAAAATATATCGATATGGTCATTGCTTAACGTCATTCTTCAGGGAGGACACGTGAGACTGGTCGTAGTTGCATTTTCTGCACTCAAATTAGTTTCTGAAGCAGTGGAAGGAGGTATGCAAGGCGAAAAAACCAGTCATTGGAGTGTTATCTTCGACACCCTCACTACCCAGACGCACCTTCCCTTCCAATGCCCGTTATCTCACTCGACAATAAGCAATTTGTATGGTACATCACTTAGACTTAGCTGCATATCTCCTTGTCAGATATAAGGCCCTAGTCTCGGCCTAAAACCCCTCTATTAACTTATTCCCCATTGGAAGAAATCTATCCACCCCTCACCTCTGTGTACTCTACTCTAATTACTTCTGGGTGTTAATTAAGTAGTGTTTACTAGGGTCGAATTCTTCGGGAATTCTTCCACCCTTCTGCCTTATTTTTATGAATAGAGGGAAGAGGGGTCGTCAACTATTGTGTGCAAGTGTTTTTTAACTGTTGATGA